TACTAAGATTTCACTTATTCTTAGAACTTGACATCAATCAACGGACTTGTATCAACGGATATTTTGCTTGTCTTGGTCTGAGATGAATTATGCTTTTGTTTTTATCTTCACGTGTGTTTAGGTGACGGGGTTTAAAGGGGCAATCTTCCTACTGGGCGAAATGATCATACCAGGCTGATGGCTGAGCTACTGCCCAACAGATATTCGTTGGGATATTCTATGCGTGCTATTTCGATTGCACAGTTGCAAGCTTGCGCGATTTCGCGACGTCATTAGTTAATATTACGTTAAAAGTTAATGATTGTGGAAATTCTTGAATTGCATAACTTCAGTGTTAGTTGTGATAACAGACGCTTTACACCCTTGGTGTTTCTTCTCACAACGCCAGAATATCTTGTCTTTCACCTCCTTGGTCCTGAAGTATTTAACATCTCCTAAAACTAATGTTTGACTCTGCCCTGCCATAACAAAGCTGTGCAGTGCCACTGAAACTAAATGTATAAGTAGTAAGACAAAGTACATAATATTAAATCATCTCGGTAACAAAACATGAAATCAAATATTAAATGAAACAATAAACCGTTATGTAATTATAGATTCATTTATTAACAACACATCATACTCAATGTCATAATTTTAAGATAGTAAAACTTATTATCTAAAATCACAATATAATTTGTACATTTCAGCACAAAAAAAAACAAATAGGGAATTACAAATTATGTAAAAGATAATAAAAAAGTGAGATAAATTTGGTTAAAAAAATATAAATGATAATAAAATTATATTGTTAATTGTCATTTATGATTGTGAACATGCATGGTCCTGATGACATTGTCGTACAGGGTAGTGACAGCTGCCCTGCAACCCAGGCTCTTCCGCTTAGCACACCTCCATTCGACTTTATGTAACGTTTGTCTTTTCTTATGGAACTTATGGTTATTGACCATAAGGAAGCAGCCTCGAGTTGTTTGCACCACAAACTCTAAAATAGAAAGAACATTAATAATATCATCGCACATTTATTCTCGTGATAACCTGAAGGATGCTGTAGTTGACTGAGTCGATCTATTACAATTGATCAAAATACTGATATTTCCAGAAATTTTAAATCAGATCATATATTAAATTGTTATTGACATTAAAAACAATAACATTAAAATTATTTAATTATTAACTTCAGTTTTCAAACCTTGTTTTGAAAACTTTGACTCCGGGGCTTTTTTAGCTTTTTTTCAACAACCAGAAAATTTTACTTAGAAAAAGATATAGCGGACTACACATAATTCAGGTTTATTAACTATGGTAGCTTCAAATCAATATACTTGTACGTTCTAAATGTTTAATTTAAATAGTTATTTACATTTTTAATTATTATACAGGATACCCGTGAACGTCTTATATTAACACTTAAATAACAATTGATCAGATTTTATTTAAAGTTCTGCGAGGAATGCTCTACGTCCAGAGGTCCAGACTACATTTTAATCTCTTATTTTAATTTAATTTATTTATATACATAAATATTGAATTGTCACAACGACGGAAAAACTAATTTAATATGCATATTTCTAACCTGTAGTAAATGCAGGATTGACACAATTTTGATTTAGATAAATCTGATTGCATCAAAAATAAACGAACAGTTGTTACACCTCTAAGTTTTTAAAGAGTAAAAAAACATATTCAATATATACTTAAGCTGTAAAAAAAGTCCAAATCATTTATTTCAAACAGACTACAGTTTTGAACGTCAAGCAAAAAAAAAGAAATAATTTATTTCAAGAGGTTTAACTTTATGCGTGTCAGTCTGTCCGTCTGTCCTCTAGGGAAGCTTTTGTCGTTCCAAAGTGTAAATTCCTATGGAGAAGAACGAGCAAGAAACTTCATGGTTACTCTTTTTCAATCAGTTTTACAATGTTAGGAGAAGGCATTATCACACACAACAGTAATTTTAAGTCCGTCTGTCGTTCTTTCTGTCTACTTATTCAATAGAAGAGGTCGCACTTGTAGTAGCTACATCATGTTACGTCGATAGTGTTTAGTCTGTGTATAGTGTAAATATATAGGTACACCCATGCTTCTGACACACAAGATTCTGAGTTCTACACCAGTCAGAAGCAACAGCCGGTCTTTGGAATTCCAAAAAACATTGTTCTCAGAGTCTACTCATGATTATGATCCTCTCTCTGCCTGATGATAACGTTGTCGATAGTCATCACGAAAGCTTGACAGCCTCTGGTCTTCTTCACACATCTCCATCTAGTCTTCGGACCCTCGTTTTGATGGACAGTATATTTATTTATCCCCATGAACAAGCACCGTTTCCCATACTCCGTTGTTCCGAAAAATGCTGAAAGCAATTTCGATCTGGTTACTTTATTTTAATAGCTTATTATATAAAACATACATAATACATAACATAGTTAATGTTTTTATGTGTCGTTATTTTTATTAAGCTCCGTTCACAGTAATGCCTTATTTAAACTATTTATTATACTGTCACAAGTTAAGAAAACAATATTTAATGTGTATCTTGCCTTTGTAATACGCACACAGATACGTATTGTATGTAACAAAATACACTTTAGTAAAATCACTAAACATCAACTAAATATTTTTATTATAACATTCATGAGACATTCTAAATTACGCGACGCGGCGACTGTCGCGCTGCTACTACAGGCGTGTCGCGGAATGCTGCTGATGAATATGGGGCTCTAGCATGGCTTGAAACTAGTCGATTATCTCGTCAAATTATTACGTGAGTAAGCCGAAATATAATAATTAATCATCTAAATAAATGCTCGACTTAAATACATAAGTTTATGACAAAAGAAAACACATTTAAACAGCATTACTTCATTATAATGTCAATGTACACAGTTATTATGTCTACATCTATAATACTTATATGAACGATTTAAAATTTCTCGTTATATTTTTTTTCCATTTGTTTTATACAACTTTTTGATTTTACAGTAGTGTATAGTATTTTTATAAACAAATGATGATTATGATTAATTTTAACAACTAATATTTGGGTGTGTGATTATGATTATTTTTGATGACTAATATCTTATTGTCCACAGTGATGACTTGTGCTGGACAGTTGAACACCTTCTTCACACATCGCCAAGTGACCCGGCTGCCTTTGCGATCATTTCTCATGTTATACCGGTAGCCTCCAACCAGAATAACCGGTTTACCTTGTTGACTAGTCTCAAAAACTGCACCTATGAATTTGATTACCGTTTTTAATGATTAATTTTGAAATCCAAGAATGCATTTCAACTGCAACTAGCGTATTCTTTGAGTACCCTCAGTTTGAGTGTCCTCGTTAAGACTCTCATTCCACCTGCCAAGAGTAGAAATTATGGCAAACTCCAGGGAAAACTTGCTTATTTTCAGCTGTGAAATCTTTCAGGTCTTATCGATAATGACGCAAGTAATGTAAGTTACATTTCGATTTATTAAAACTCTTTATTATAAAAATGATTACTTATATTTAATGTATAAACTATGCCAGACTGACCCTTCCGATTACAAAGGTAGTTTCTTAAATCAGAAACATTATATGAAGTAAAATAAACAATAATTAACTATTAGGTTTAATTAGGTACTATAACTTTTGTTTACTAAACAAAGAAACATATAATAATCTTTTGAAACTTTAAACTTAAACTTTATTGTATTAACATACTAATATTTTAATTCAAATAAATATCTTTTGTACAATCAACAAAGTCATAAAAGTTCAGAAGATATGATAATATTTAAATTTAAACAAGCATAATTAAGTACCTACCATTATTAAAATTCGTAAGCCTGTAGCGCATTATGCACCTAGCAATTTTCAGGTGATGTCGCACAAAACTTTCCTAATATTAATCATTAACCAGATACAAATAATTTAAATCATCGCAAACACGGATTATCACGCTAAAGTAACATTAAGCTATGTATATGAGCTGTCTTTTATACTTGCTCGTCATGTGCATGCGATACTGGTCATGAATATAAACCTTTACCATGGCTTGAAACTTGTCAAATAATCTCGCCAAACAATTACGTGGATATACCGATAAAGATAAATTTAATAAATGTACTTATTATGTCTCCAGCCACTAATGAGAGTGCATGCGCATTAATGTAACGCAGCCCCGGCCTAAAGCAGGATAAGGAAGGGTTTAGTCAGTAAGAGTCTGACACTCCCTCTCGCCTCATCCTGGGTCATTGAAAGTCATTGAATGATTTTTCCCTCACAAAAAAGGCCCCGGCTCGGAGCAGGTGAGGGAACAGGGTGGTTTCCTATTATCTGGTAGGAGTTTAACATTATCTCTCGCCACATTCTAGGCGGGAGAGTATAGAGGATTAATTTTTAAAAATTATAAAGTCAATGACTTTTTAACCATCTTTTACGTCGGGTAAAAGACGGGTGTTATGAGTTTGACGTGTCTTTTTGTGACATCCTGGAGTCTGATCGGATAAAGTGCTTTCAATTTAGTTTTTTTGTACTAAAGGTGACTTACGTGCGAGTATTCTCAGTTATGTTTGATGAAAATCGGTTGAGCCGTTTAGGGTGTAAGTGGGAAAGGGTAACTGCAAATATACAGAATGGGGTCTCAAATGAAACACTGAAAGGGAATGTTGATTACTTAATCGAGTACTCTTAGCAATATAAAATATCTACAAAAAGTATGAAATAAAAAAATCTAATATTTAAAATCCCCCGACAAAGAAACTAAGATGGGAGAAGGGGAGATGGGGTGGCCATTTGGAGCGGTCCCCCAACGCGACGTTTTATTTATTTTTTTACTTTTTAAAGGGACCTTACTTTATTTTGTCGGTGCTTTATTAATTTTATTTTTATGAATGACATTGGATTATTCAATGATTACTATGTTCTCCTTTAACTTTAACAATCATGGATCCGTAAGTATGGACGGTGGCTCTACAGCCATGGGCCTTCCTTCTGCAGACCCAGTAGGAGTTCTCACCAGCCGTTTTATTCTTGATGTAGACTTCATCTTCCAACAGAAGTTTCACACCTCCTCGCGCAGTCGGTATCATTAACGGTCCTGTCAAATTGATTTTGGATGTCAACTCAATGGTTTTAAATTTATGTGTTAATAAATTATCCAAAAAAGTAACAATTTACAAGACATGTTTATATGTTTTATTTTTGTGAACTTACATAAATATGTTTTATTTTCTGATTCAGCTATTAATCTATGGTGGAACTAAACCGATAATTTTTATTTGTATTAATGATTATTTCCAAATTTGTATTCGTTATTTTCTATTGTACATTATAGTATTAGGCCGCTATCCCACTACACGTTTTACTAGCGTTGACGTCAACGTTACGTTACTTACTGATGATTCGGAATGATTGGTATGTTCTCCTTTCATGCTGACGATGCTCTTGTCAAAGGTAAGAATAGTTGCCTTACAGCCCTGGGCCTTCTGACTGCACACCCAGTACGCTTTGTCTCCACGCTTCTTGTTCCTGTGAAACACATAGTCATCTATAATGAGCTTCGCGCCTCCTCTATCTCCAATTGCCATTATGATCACTGCAAACAAGAAATATTAAAAATAAATTATTTTATTACTAGTATTCAGAGAATGACAAGTAACAGAACAAGTCATAATATAAGTTAAATAACAAAATTATATGCGAACAAATATAAAAAAAAACCAAAAGCGTGTGTGGCATCGAGACTAACCTAAAGATTCTATGAATAAAGGTAGCGTACCTAAACAAAATACTTGATTGGCTGAAATAAAATGTATAAGTAATGAATAAAACTACGATTAAGGATTTCAAGTTGATTTATTGATTAACAAATAGCACAACACTAAGTTCGACAACCAGTTAGACTTTCAATTATTCACACTGTCTGTATTCATACATTAGATCCTAATGTTATCGTACTGTGAACTTTGTTCGCTAAACATGATGATATTACCCGAACCTGTATCAAGTGGAACCTACTTCCCAATGAAAATATCTAAGAAACTAAATGCCAAAACATACAACCAGCACTTCTATGCTAAAATATGAGTAATTATTGAAACCCAACACTGTAGATAGAGTAGTCAATAAAATGAACGTACTGGAAATAGTACAAGACTGAGTAAATTAAATAAAAGGTTTAAGGTTAAGGTTTAAGGTTTAATTTTACAAAAAAACAGAAACACACGTTTACAATTGTATTGGATATAACGACTTACTCATGTGGACTGACTGTGCTAAATATGGCAACGTCACGTCGCATCGAGCACGCTATTCATAAACAAAAGTTCTGTTATGACTTGAAACAAAGGCCCTGCGCAGACGACAAAAAACCCATTTTTTAGTTGCTTTACCCAAATAAGTCATAAAATATATTTAATTAATTTTGCATTTCTCACGATAGTTATTGCAGAAAAACAGAAAAGTTATGTATTTGATCATAATCTCTGTTAGTTTTAAAAGTATTTAACAGATCACATCGTGATTTTATAAATATGAGTATTAGCATTACTAATTTACATACATTTAAGATGTTTCAACATGATGATATTAAAATATAGGTTAAAAGTAGTATTACTTAATGAAATCAGTTGACTAATAACTCAATAATAACTAAATACACAAAGTATACAATATAAAGGTAATAATAAAATAACCCTCTTAAATATTCAAAACGTCGGTTGGTCGTATAGTTTTCGGAAGTAAAACAATACATGAGAGTTCCGTTGTGGTAAGAAACTAGTCGGGCTATCCCGAATAGTACTTAAGTAATTTTAATGCATTTTTTTACTTACTATTTCACAAAACATACAAAGTTTAGCTTTAGTTATGATTATGTCGATTTCTTATATCAATGACATCTTTATCAAAAGTAACAATGAATGCTGGACAAAGCAAGCGTCGTTTCTTCACGCACCTCCAGCTAGCTCTGCGCCCGTTTCTGTCTGATCTCTTATTGTACCTATAGCCCCCGAGTTCAATGACCGGACGACCAAACTTTGATTTCAAAAATACTGGAAGCAATTCCGCATCTGTAAAAGATAATGCATTATTGTTATAATTTTTTGTTATAAAATTTAACGTCACGTACTCTCGTTTATCCCCGAAGGGAGGCTGACGAATTTCGCAGGTTATTATTAGGATAACTACATTAATTTTGGATGGATGAAATTGTAAACCCATTTCAATTTCCTTTACAGCACAGGTAAAAAAACAAGATTTAAAAACAAATCTTTTTATCACTTTATTCAAGATAAAACAAATGCAGAAAAATATGCGATTACCCTTACAAGACATTAAATTTCCATATTAGAATATTAGTGATGTTTGTTAGTATTTATTATAATTTTAATCTAATTGTATTAGTTGACCAAACGTACTCTCTCACTGTTTTCCACAAATAACTTTAATGTTAAAATTAATCATGATTGTGTGCTCCAGCCGTCTTGACAATGACTCCATCAAAAGTTGTCAACGATGCTGTACATTTAAGAATTCGTTTCTTGACGCAGGCCCACCTAGTCTTTAATCCAATTTCACGATCTTTATGAAAACGAAATTTCCCAACTATAATAACTGGGTTCCCTCTGAGGGATGTACCGAAGCACGGCTCTAGAAATATAAAGTACATATTATACAGAAAATTAACACACAATTAGGGTACGTGATTGAATTACATTAGACCACATAACGCACACCTCTAAAAACAGCCCCTCCCCCCTACCTTTTAATTATACCAAAATATCAATCTTACAGCTCAAAATTATATGGTGGGGCGAGAGGGAGAGTCAAACTCTTACTGACTTACACCACCCCGTCCTTCCTGCTCCAGGCCGAGGTCGCAATATATTGCACACGACGCACAAACCACGTTGAACATCATCCCTTGGACCTCATCTGTGGCCCAGTTGTTGTTGTTGTTGTTACAATAACACCTTGTTGTTTGTGTGATCCACAAATTGTTGTCCCGGTATCCCGATCCCAAATATGTGAAATTGTATGTTTGTAACCGCACCCACGACACAGGAGAAAATACAAGTGTGGGACAATGTTTTTTTAAAAAAAAAACAATAGGAAAATTCGGTGATCTGATCTTTACCAAAAAGTTATCCTGCAAAATTGTAACTTAAATTTGTTGCAATAAAACTCTTTGTTAGTGAAACGCATAAATATAATAATAGTAATCAACCAAAACCAACATTACCTACTATAGGTTGATGCGACGACGGTGTCATGATGTGTTCTAATACTAATGATAAAAAGTGTAGAGGTGCTCAAAGTTATAATTAACCATGTTTGTACCTAACATATACATTTTTATATAAATCCAATATACAGACTGGACAGACATTCGTTACGGGAACAATTTTTTGCTTCGTTAACTACGGTTACATTCCCTTTGTTCTTTGTAAAAGAGAACATTGATAGGACAGCATAAGTGCATAAATTCTACGTTGGTTCGTGCCGATTTAATTAAATTAGTTTTTTATTAATTAAACTAAATAATTGCACAAGTATTTTCATTTACAAAAATCGCTTCAAAATCATTATTTAAACATAATTATTGCAATTAACAAACCATTAAATTGAAATATTTTAATTTCACTCTACAATATAATTATGGCGGCAATTAAACACAAAAACACAAACGAGCAAAGATTCAAAAAACATATAATTTTCTCGCTATTTAAATAAAATTATCTTATTTAAATACAATCCAAAAACACAAAAAAAACAAAACGTGAAGGTAATAAGATTTCACTTCAATAGTTCTTATGAGTATGTTTCTTAATACTGATCTCAATAGGTTGGCCATCAAATGTGACGATAGAAGCTGGACATCGCATGGACTTCCATCTGCTGCAAACCCACCAGGTCCTGTCTCCAGAAGTGGTGCTTTTCGAGTACCGGTACCCATGAAACCATAAAAACGAATTGTCCTCACTATCCTGCAGTCCCTCATTCCCTGTAGAAAAAAGAAATCATTTTTATCTCGACAACAGTTTTGATAAAAAATAATTGTGAGCCAAAAAACTACGCAAACGTAATTCTATCTGTGCATTTTATGTATGTAAGGACTGATATACACAAATGACAAGAAATGTAATAATATTAGACAGTACTGTAAAAGTTCGCGTGAATGTTCAAATAACACGAAACCAAGGATAGATTTTTACATTTTTAGTTCATTAAAATAATCAAAGTTTTGTTGTTGTTGGCTACGTGACGTTGAGCGTCGATCGTGTCGTCACGAGGCCGCAGGCTCCTTGATATCGAGTCCCAGTGTAAATAGGAACCTGTAGGGCTTTGTGCCAAATCCATGCCAGTAAACAGGATATTTCAGTAAAAAGTTTTTTTTGAGAGTTAGGAAAATTATCAAATGATTTATTCTGCTCTGGAATGATCTTGATTAATTACCCCATCGCTGTCATTAATCAATATAAGTAACATACAAATAATAAAAAGCCATGTAAACGTACTTCTTAAAAACAAGCTTCAACGTCTCACGTTTCATCTACATTCACGTAATTCTATACATATAGGAAATAAATTTTCGGCATTGGTTGCTGCAAAAGTACTTCTTGGTCGCAGTTTAACGACATACCCGGGTCTGAATTACTAACTTAAAACACGAATTGAAGATTATTTGAAAGGTATACTTAAAGCATAACAAACACATTTTGTGTGCGTGAATTCGTTTTAAAACCGAAAACTATATTTTTTTCTTAATATCAATTGACAATCAACTACAAAATTAGTAAAATTAAAGCAACTTTAGATACTTCTAAAGATATTGATATCAATTTGCATTTTTTTTAATGGTATACCTACTACAATTCGTTTTTTTATAATCATTTATTAATTAAAGAGTTTATATTGATGCTGCAAATGGTAATGCAGTTTCTCTTGCAACGCAATTTAAATTTGGACACAAGGGAAGGAAAGGAACGGTAAACGATTATCTGATCTCCAATTAACTATGCCTTATACGAGTATACATAAAAAGTAATTGCTATTTGTAAGTCTTGCTAGAACTCCAGGACAGTTGGACTGATTCGGCTTGTTTTCCGTGACATATTCTTGGATATCAGGGGAATATTTAGAGGATTTTGACCCTTTGATATTACTTTACTTTTGAGGTTCACCAAGCCAGCTAGTCTTCCATTTAATTGTGATGAGATAATGAGAATGTAGTTATAATAAAGGATAATAAGACTAGCTAAGGTGGACGCTGCTGCGAGGAAGTCATATACTTCCTAGCATGGATAATTTTATAAAATCAAATATTTTTACCAAAAATCATGTTGAAAAAATGGCATTTATTTTAGAGCAACCTTCGTATATACATCAACTATTATAATATCTACAACAACAACTGGAATTGTAAACAGTATAATCTATATAAAACAAAACAACAATACGAAACCTACAAATATTTCCACAAATCGTTTGCCTTCTAAAACAAAGTAATTCAACAAACAGAAGACAATACAAAAATTTACTAGGTACACAGCTAAAAACCACCTATAAAAGAACTAATGTGTATGGC